GGACCCAAAAGATGACCTACAGCAGACAAACGGGAATCGACTATGTCCTGGTCAGAAGATCGTCTCTCAAAACCGTCAAGGATATCAAGGTACTGCCAGGGGAAGAGCTGGGCCCTCAGCACAGGCCTCTCCTTGCAGACATCGAAATAGACGAAAATGGGCAAGGTAGGAAAGGATAGCCTCGGCCGAAGAATACTGGAGGCTGGACTGCCAGACCAATAAGGGCCAGTTCAGGACACTTGGACCTACGCAGCAGAGTTCATCCTACAGTGTGCAAGGGAGGTCCATAGACATGAGGTGGTATCAGAGGAGACGACGCAGCCTGGTTCTGGAACGAGGAAGTCCAGGGGATCGTCAATCAGAACAAGGAAGCATGTAAACGCTGGCAAAAGACAAATAGTCTGTAAGACTTCGCTGACTACAAGAGCTGCAAGCGACTCGCCAAGGCAGCCGTTGCTAAGGCCAAGAATACGGAAATGACTCTGTACGACTCTCTATACGACAAGCTGGAAGGCCGAAAAGGGGACAAGTTCGTCTTCCGCCTGGCTAAAGCTCGGCATCCAGCTGCTCAGGACATCAGGGTCGTAAAGTCTGTGAAGAGCAGCAACGGAGCCATTCTCAGGAAACCAGCCGAAGTCAGGAAGAAGTGGGAGAATCCTTTGAGGGACTCCTGAACGAAGAATCCCCTCGCAACGATAGTCTACAGATAGAGGCGACGACAGGTCCCATCACTCCCTGGGCGAAGGATGAAGTCCGTCGAGAGCTGGGGAGAATGAAAGTTGAAAAAGCAGTGGGTCCAGACGGAGTACCGATGGAAGCATTGAAGGCCCTTAAAGAGAATGAAGTGAGTTGGCTCACACATTTCCTAAACAACGTAACAGCTGAAGGAAGGACGCCGGATGCATGGAGGAGCAGCACAGTCAAGTTGACTCCCCGTACCATGAAGCTGTATCAACACTAGGCTAAGGGAGCTTGTCCCTATCTCGCAGGAACAGTTCGGCTTCATGCCCGAGTGGTCGACCATCGATGCCATCTTCGTCGCTAGACAGCTGATGGAGAAGTACCGAGAAAAGCGGCGACCCTGCTACCTAGCCTCCCTGGACCTTGAGAAGGCACTCGACCAAATGCCTAGGCCTGTACTCTGGAGAGCGCTTAGAGAACGTAACGTTCTGGAACACCTCATCTTCATAGTGAAGGACATGTACGATGGGGCTAAAGCAGCTGTACCCCTCACGGCTTAACAAACCAGGTAAACATTACGGTTGGGGTACACCAAGGATCAGCCCTCAGCCCATTCCTCTTCCACCGCGGACAGCAAGGAAGAGCTCCAGGACAAGGTGAAGCGGTTGCAGGATGTGCTCGCTGAGAATGGACTCCGGCTGAACGTAAAGAAGACAAAGTTCCTAAGCTCCGAAGAGTGCCCCAAACTTATCGTAGATCACCATGGCGAAAGTATCGAAAGGGTCGAGGATTGGGAGCAACCTAACAGCTGGCACCGTGGACCAGGCGGTGAAGGCGCGAATCAACGCAGCCTGGATGAAGTGGAGGGAGTCTACTGGCGACCGACGGTGCTCGAGAACGCTCAAGAGCAAAGTGTACCGGGCGGTGGTAAGGCCTACAATGCTCTACGGCAGTGATTGCTGGCCCGCAAGAACCATGAAAGGCAGCCCCGCTCAGCTGAAATGAGGATGCTGAGATGGGCCTGCGGCTGGAGACACGACTCGACAGAGTCAGAAACGAGGACGTCAGGGCGGTCACACAGACGGCTCCAATCCAACTGAAGGCACAAGAGCAGCGACTGCGATGGTATGGGCATGTACTGAGGAGGCCTGAAGACCACCCAATAAGAAAGGCATTGGAACTCGAGGTAGGGGGCGAGCGACTACGAGGAGCCCCAAAGAAGAGATGGAGGGACGTCATCCAGAGGGACTTCACTGAAGTGAAAGCTACAGCAGAAGATGCAGTGGATCGGAACAAGTGGCGACGTCTAACAAGAACAGCAGACCCTGCGACGGCGTGGGACTAATGCTAGGGAGAAGAAGAAGATGTGCATTACTCAAGCCCTTTCAACGCTGACGTCGTAAAATGCGGTGTTGAGTGAGCACCACGACTCATTTAACGACAAAGACAGGTGGGTCGTAAATAACATCTCCGGACACACACTGAGCGAATTTTTAAGTGTTGCGCGTGAGGTAGGAAGGATGGTACGTGACTACGCCCGCGACAGTATAATTTCCGCCTGTTGCCAAGTTTTTCGGAGTTCAAACGGCATAAGCCGTTGTGTCCGGAGGCGGTACCTGAGTATCGCTACCCACCAGCACTGTTCTCGGCACTATTGACTGTATAAAATTCACTCCACTGCAGCTACGGACCTATCCCCCTTTAGAACCGTCCTCAGAGATGTGTGTACAGTTTGTCATTGAATTTACAGAAGCAATTATTCACCGCATCACACTTAAATGGCAGTACTGTGACATTGCGACTGAATAACGGTGTCCAAGTCGATTGCTGGAAATAAAACTCATTTTCTTTGCTGTGGAACTGAAAAGGAGATGTTGTCATCTTGGCCCGTACAATTTCTACAACGACCTTTCATCGTAGTTATCAGCTAGCGGATCCACGATTTACCAAGTTCATTGGATATCGTAAAATTTTTGACCATTTCCAGAAAAGTGTAACTGTCTTCCTACCAGTTTCAGCTCAAACAAGAAGCATGGCTCCCCACTGTCGAAACCATATCGATTCGCAGCGCCACAACCTTCCGTGTCAAAAACTTCGAGAGGAACGCTACACCACGCGTGCGCGGGCTGAATAAGTATGTACTCGAAGTGTAATAAGATCAGAGAAGTTGAGAAAAAAATCACAAAAAATCATTCTCAGAGGGTGTCACGTCAAGAAATTTCGGAAGCTGAATTGTCATGGAAAAGATGAGAGATCAGATGATGAAGTTTGCAGCAAAGGTAAAGAGCTCAAAAAGGATAGAGAAAGGACTTTAGAAGGAATTGCGAAGAGAAAATAAGGACCCATTTCAAGCGAGGGGGTAAGAGTTCAATAAAAGACTTCCATTCTGTGGCTCTTTTAGTCTGAAATGTCGCAAGGTATAAAAGCAGCTTGATGCGCTTCTATTCGGACTTTTTTTATCTTCAAAGACTAACAGGCAAGTCTTCCGCCTCGCCCCATGAATAAGGGAGCGATTTTTATCATTGCCCTCAAAATTAACAGAACTGAAGCCATCATCGGCGTAGTTCGCTGAACCTTGGCCAGAAAGAGCTTTTCTTTTTTTTTCTTTGCTCCAAATTTCTATCATCCAATCCCTTACCGGCCCTTCAATATTCGACCTCCACTGTTTCTCCATGCGATCTCATGCTCTGCTGTAGATGCTTCTGAAATGTGAATTCCAAGAAAAACCAATCGCTTTGGCTTACAGGATCTCATTTAATGGTCACACCGGCGCGCGGGCCCACCTACGAGGCTTTAAAGGCAGTTGGCATGATGGTTTCCCACTCGCCTAAAATGCCGATAGATCGCTATGTGGTGGGAAAATGGTGAAAGAATGGGATGAAACGGTCAAAATCGGGCGAAGAAAAAGCCTCCGTTCTCATTGACTTAAAGCCGATTTCGGACGAGTTTCCCGTAGGCATCTTGCCAATCACCGCTACCCAAGATACGGCTGCATATGTGTACCCACCCATGTGTGCATGCAGCATCACGGCCACTTCATACCAATCTCTTTGCTTCATAATTTGCTCAGCAAATGAATGAATACGAGCGTCAGGAACGGTCGTCCGTTTGTGGGCGGACGGGCGAAGACGGCGTTTGGGATGGAATGTTATTGCTCGATAGGGAGTTATAGGAGCACCCTCCTTGGAAAAGGCGCCACGGAGCGCCTGTCCGAGGTCACGGACATCTGTTAAGCCAGTCGTATAAATCCTACATCTGTATAGCGATTTATCGTGCGATATATGCCTAAGACGAGTAGGATTAGTACGCTTAACATGACGGGATTCCGCGACCCTAAGTAGGCGCTGCATACCGCCTTTTCCAAGGAAGGAACCCTCATAGGGGCCCTATGAAGCTACAACATACTGAGCCGAACGCCCACCACACCCGCCTGCCCAGAAATGGACGACTGTTCCCGAAGCTCGTTTTGCTTCATTTGCTAAGTCAAATATGAAGCGAAGGGATTGGTGTGAAGCGGCTGCAGTGATGCATGGAAATATGAACACATACGTGCAGCCGTATCTACCGTAGCGGTTATTGGCACGATGCCTACGGGAAACTCGTCCGAAAACTGCTTTTTAAGTTATTAAGAACGAAGGCTTTTCTTCGCAAATGTTTGGCCGTTTCACTTCGTTTTTTCGCCATTTTCCCCGCTATATAGCGCCCTGCTAGCATTTTAGAGCCAGTACCAAATAATCGTGCCAGCTGCCTTTAAGGTGATAGGGAAGGATGTCGCAGCTGGGAGGCTTTCAAAATTTCCCATAGGTCGATTCTGATTCGCAGCGCACGCAGCTATTCATCCTAGATACCGATCTCATTCACTCTGTTTCTTTTTTATGGTATAGATCGACCATGTCTACGAAATTACCCCATTTTGACGGACACCAGTTGATATCATCGCATTCCGGTAGGATGGTGTCAGGAGTGTGGAATGAACCCAGTCATGGCGTTTTCTACAGAAATTCTTTCATGTGAACGGCTGGTATTAGTGGAAAAGGCAGCCGTGGGTGAGCTCATTCCACGTCTCTGAAACCGCTCCCCCCCCTCTGACTTGTGCCCGTAGTCCTGACCCCCTCCTTAGCAGCCATCTTCCATCCCACTCCATGTGCACTATAGCATCGTTCTGATATATGTGTCCATTTTCTTTATTTTAGCTACATGTGAACTCTACAAGAAATCGACCGGACATCTTTGCCCACCCTCAGGCAAGCCGTAAAAACTGAACCTACGGAAACCTAAAAGCTCAGCTTCACCAAACAGCTCTAGTTTATTTGAAGATGTCATGGAAGTGATCCTTCTACGCCAAAACTGAAAACTCTAACCTTTTCTGACGGTTTGCATTCTTTTGTGAAATTCGCACGCGACGTCTGCTCCTTCTTGTATGCTTAAAAAGACGTGATCAGATAGCTGCATCAATTTTCTGGCTAAATTTGCTCGACCTTCGATATATTCCTGAATCGTTTCCACATAGCGCTCCTTTGCCACTTTGTCTCGAGCAAGGCTCAAAATGCCGTTACCGGTACGTGCATCATAGTCTGGTATCATGCGTAGCCCTATAATTTGAGCATGGAAAATATCGACTGTTAAAAAAGTTGCAACTCGCAGTGTATTTCCCAAAAGGTGAGGCATTGTGGTGCCGAGCGCACAGATCTTTTAGAACTGGACTATTTTTAAGCACACAAATTTTGCTGTCGTGCTGTAGCGCACTACAATTGCAGAAGCGCTCCAATCCTGTAGACGGAACGCTGCCGCAGACGGGAATCGATCGGCGTTGGGCGCTCGTGTTTTTTTTAGGGTATAGGATAACAGGAGGGCACGGGGCTGTCTCCACGCAATCTGGTATTCTCCCATTCCTTTGTTCTCCCAAAGCACTAGCAGCCGCGATCGATACAGAATGCATGATTGCTCACGCGTACCCTCCTGTTTCCTCATATTCTATCAATACACAAGTGGGCGACGCCGATCGATTCGTCTGCGGTTGCTCTCGGTTGTCTTTAGGATTGGAGCGTTGTTGCAAGTGGAGCGCGTCATCGCGAAGTCTGTACGCTGTCTTCGCTCTTCTGATACTGAATGTCCCACCTTTCAAAGCACCAAACCCGTCTAAAACAAACTGCCAGTACCTTGTTTACTCCTAAGCTGCTGCACAGTTATTCTATCCATTACGCGATTGAAACATACAAGCATAAATAGTAAAAGGAACAGCGCTGTGGTGGTCAAAAGCAACGAAGCACCTGGAAAACAGTAAATGAAGCAAGAAAAGTCAGGGTTTCATCAGATAGGCATTGCACTGGAAATAGGAATGGTTGCATGCCAAGGAAAGACCAGAAAGGTATGAGCACGTGCACTCTATATCCCGAAGATTGAGATGGTGTGGCCTCGTACTTCATGTGAACGTTTCGGCTTATAAACCATGTCTCGGTCCAGCACAAGACAGTATGACTGCTGTTCCAAAGGGAGGTGTCACGAAAAACGCGTCCCATGCCTGCTCAAATAAGCTACGCGACCACGCCCCCCCCCCTCCCCGGGATGTGGAACATATATTACATGGCCCTCTGTCTCTGAGAGAGGAGAGAAACGATAGTCACAAGCTGGCCTCGAACTTGATTTTTCAACTTACCAATGCAGAAAAATCGCTGACTTTTCCGAAGGTGAAGGTCAAATAGGATTTCCCGGAATGCGATCGGTATCGTAGCTCTGGAATGCAAAAATGTTTTTCTCGAGCTCCAAATCACGCTACCATTGTGCAACCCCTTCTCCTGTTTTCCAGCATCTGGTGGAAATTCGGACCTTATTTAGCAAGAAGGAGCGGGGCAGCAGAGCGGTTACTGATCTTGTGGAAACCAACCCACGAATGGAGTCCTCTGCGATCAAGTCAGTGTCACAGCATCGTTCAGGGTTCACCGACGTCGCTTCACAAGGTTCTTGATGGTTGTCAGGAACCGCCGTGTAGCTCACCTGGCTCATGATTCAGAAAACTGAGCCCCTGTGGGACCCTGCGTAGTAGCAGACTGAAATTCTCTCGTTAAAGGAGAAAACAGAAATTCGAGAAGGGCGACACTTTCTCCAGCACTGAGTTGTTTAAATTCTCAAAATAATTCTAAATACTCCGGGTGTCTAATCCACACAGGCAAAAAATCGCATTCTGCGAAATTTTCACTATATAACGTCCCCCAAAAATTTCTCTTTGGAACGACCTCTCGACTTCACAACTTAATTTAGCCCGCGAGCTGATGGGTAAGAGGGTAGATCCAATCCTGTTCGCTGCGGATGCTGGGGCGTGTCGGGGAGTTGGATTTGGCGCCGCGCCAACCCTTTGTCCACCAGTCGTTGAAGCGAGCAAATGGCATTGGTTGCTGGAGGGATGGCGCTACTCCAAATCAGCCCCTCTACATTCCAACGCTGCAGCACCGGCAAAGTACGAGACTCTACCTCCAGTCAACCGTCAGAAGTATTTCGCTGAACCACCACTTACAGGGGTAGAGCACGTGTGAAGCAGGAAGAAACCGACATTCGAAAAAATTCCTTTTCATGGCGAAATAAGAATCTTCAGCCAGCGGCCTCAGCGCCGTAACGGGACCCTCCTCATGCTTCTGACATCTTACGTGATGTCTTATAATTCCAAAATGCGCGCTCCAGGAAAGCGATCATGGAGCAAAGTTGGGCGTCAGGTACTATAACTGCCCGCAGTACGCAATCACGTCCCGCTACCCGGCAAATTTTCGACGTGACGTCATTTACCGGATATTACTTTGCTAATACTTATAGTTCTAAGGGTGCAGTTACATTTATCAGTATAACGCACTGGCTTCTCTTTCCCTTTCATGGACCCTCTTCAAGGTCTTTCAGTTTGATTCATATGTCATTTTGCAGTACAAACATCAAATGAAACGGAACATCTTTTTTTCTTTTAGTTGGAGAGGTATCTAGAACTAGCAGCGCCCAGTCCATTCAGAGTTTTGAATCCTCTGTAATTACAAAACATTATTAAAGGAGATCAATGAACAGCGTAGTGTACAGGTCCCCTCACTTTGGATTTCTAGGAAAGCGCTAGGCATTGCATTTCTCTCATAAGGACATAACCTCTCGTAATAACGTCAGAGCTATTGAAATTCACTTATAGTAAAACAATTTTTGCGGTCTAGGGAAAAAATATGGCGAATTTAGGATAGTTCTGGCAAATTAAGGACAGTTGCCAGTGGCGATTCATAGAAAGCTGTGGAATGGATGTGATGTAAAAAAGTACTAGTTACAATGGGATGTATCGGTAGTGTAATGGTTTGGTGGTGAAAGACCGATCGATATGTTGAGAGGTGCGCATGGCGGCCTGTTGTCCTTCGGTAGAGTCGCGATACTCACCAGCCACCAAAAGGGCGAAGTGTTGTGGTAGAAATAGTGGTCACATGTGGATTCACGCTTGAAATTTTTCGGCTGTCTGTGTTGGTGAATACTTCATTTCGTTGCGGTTCTGAAACGAGAGCGATCAAACTTTTGCCCAGTAAAGTGTTGCCATGAATGGCTTTTAAGAAAGTCAGCGCCAATATTTGGAGTTCTTCAGAAACTAGTATTTCTTTACCTTTCACTTGAATGCCCTGGCGTTGCTGTGGATGGTCTCTCGCGCTTTCCCTTCCGCACATTCCGTGGGGAGGTCTTCTGTCTGGCGCCAGGGCAGGCCATCGCTGTGATGATCAGAACAGGGGGGGGGGTCGTATTTAATCTCGAGGGAGAGAGGGAGGGGCACGTAAGCGTAAGCACAGTGCCCTTTCTGAAGTGACGGTGGAGCGAACCCAGATGTCGCTCAGCTTCAATGATGAATAACTTATCCATTTGAAATACTCCTGAAGAGACACACACAAGACAGAAGTAACCTGTCAGCGCAGAAGTGGGGAACGGGTGATGACAGGAAATACGATGGCCGCCCACAATGACATCATGAATTAATAAACAGATGAAAATACACTTCCGCACTTTTCTGGTCGCGGTCGTTTTCTGGTGGCAGGAGCACATCTACTTGCACGGAGGAAGCCCATGTTGCACCTTCCAAAACACCTCTGCGTGAAAGCCCTATCATGGCGCATACACAAGTGATGTCAATTGGCGCCCAATGAACTTTACTGATATCCTTGGCGAAAACATGCGTTTTACTAGCATACCAAAGTCTTCAAACAAACTGGAAGTGGTATGGCGGCGGATGGGTGGGTTTTTCGTGTCGTCCGACAAGGGTTACGTTGTGATCACAACGAGGGATTTTTCCGAATAACACGCCTAGGGATCAAGTGAAAATCTTGCTGAAAATTAGAAAGCTTCGAAATTCCGGCCCTGTTTTCCTTTTTACGAATGGCCCTATATGGAGCTTCTTATGGCTGTTCAAAGCGTAAGGACTTGTAGATGACCCCCGATGATCACGACCGGATCACAAAGGAGCAGTTGAGTGTCTAGCTCTTCTTGTTTCTCTTCTTTTGGGTATACTGATGGCTGATGTGAATTCAAATATTCCACTACAAGTAATCCGCTGCACCATTGTTTTAGTGGCATGCATCAGCTCCTACTTTGCATAATTCCAGGTTTTCCGGTTTTTTTTTGCTCTGACTTTGAATATTTTACTTGCTAACGCTAACAATAGTTGACTAGTGTGTCACTTTATGAGAAGGTATTGTTGTATTCATTTCTCAGTTTTTTTGCAGATGAATGTCAATCGAGCGAATATGCAAACAGGAGTGCTTACATGTGCCGAGTCTCTTCAACGCGCTCCATCTCCGATTCTTTTTCCTGAAAACGTGCCCGGGGCGGCAAAACATAACACGGAACACGATGTAAGTAGTTATTCAAAAGTTGTGGGGGGGGGGTGTAATCACTGGGCAGCTCCTCTGTGTCCCTTCCCCTAATCAATGCTTAGGCTCAGTGGAGAATATGTCTCCTCCGCAAGACTATTCTTTGATGGCTCTGGTCATCTATGCTTCAAAATTAGGCCCTGCTCAGGGAAGGTATATAGAGTACCTACGCTACCAATTGATCCCCCTTCCGCCAATAATTTTGGGCCTTTTTAATGCAGTGTGTTATTTGTACTAGCTGGTGTTCAATATTTTCACTTCCGAATTTGCTATCTAGTTTGTTGTAGTCTTTTTAGACTGCAAGTGATCAGCATGTTGGGAGATTTGAAAAAGATCTATACTTTCCATGGTCAGTGCAATACTCGAAAGATTACGTCCAGTCACTACTGGCTCAAAGTGTTGAGCTACAGAAAGCTAATCAATTCCAATTTTGGTTGCGGTACGCATCCTACTGCCATTTCGAATCGTAGTGAAATATTGAGTGCGACATTGCCTGTAGATGACTAGCGGAAGCCAAGCCATTTACAAGTCAGTGTCAGCGCTGGAGGGTAGAAAGCCCAATTGCGTTGGGCAGGAGCTGGCCCAGGACCGCGATCAAATCCTGAATAGGCTTCCGCCCAGGCCAACCGAGGCTACTGCCTTCGAGGAGCGGTGAATTGGTACTAGATTTCTCTGACAAGGGAACCCCAACAGGTCGATCCGGCCATTTGCAAGGAGATGTACATGTATGGACGTGTCTTGAGCCGCTGATTTCAAACCCGTAAATCTCTTCAAAGAATCGTAGCTATATAGCTTTAAACGGCGAGAAGAAGTACACGTCTGAAGATAGAATCAAAGACGTAGCACCTGGTGGAATATTGCATAGTTTCACACATTTATTGGGTGGCAGAACAGATTCATGATCTCTAGAGGAACCCCACGCGCCGACTCTGAGAAACGCCAACTAGGGGGACCCTGGAGCGGCCAGCTCACATAAATTTGAAAATTTCTTATCTATTCTTGGTACTCGACTGGATACTTCGATGTACATCCTGGTGAGTTCGAAACACCTCTTCAGTACTGCTTCCCCCTGGATTTTTGGAGAACTGTAATGTACCGTGCAGAGTACTTTTCATTTGATCCGCTCATTTTAAGAACTCGTATTGTTTCTATCATTTTGTGGAAGTATACCACATGTGCTCTTATACCGTAAAATCTCCATTCCTCTATGAGAGCTCTAGAAACGGTCATCCACATAATGAAAGTTTTCGGAAGGAACCACAAATACAGCAATGGCCACTCCTATTGTCAAATAATCAGAGATTAGGTGAATTGGACAAACAGAAGTGTTCTGGGGACTGATATGAAGTGCTTTGAACAAAAGCAAAAATACTCCAAGAGTCAAGGATTCCAACATGCGACCTCGTGTCTCTGAACCACTGCGCTTCGGCCATCGCCGCTTGCTGCAGGCAACCATCCTTCTCAACTTGTACAACAGAGCAAAGGGTAAATGGCCCGTAAATCTCTTCAAAGAAACGTTCCGCAAAAAAGGAGGGCAGGTTTGAATTCAGCGGCTCAAGGCACGCCCATGTATGTACATCTCATTGCAAATGGCCGGATCGACCTGTGGGGTTCCCTTGTGAGAGGGTAAGAACATTGACTTTTACATCGCCCCGCAAGTCGTTTCATAGGCCGCATCGCATCAATACGCCGCTGGGCTTCTGAATAAAAGTGAAATGCCGACATCCTGAATGATGACCTACAGCGGAGACTATCCTTTATCCTTTACGGGGAGCACAACTTGTGTTAATTTAAATAGAACCCCTGTGTGATGAAAGGTCAGTATTCTCTTCCCGATTCTGAAGAATCCTCTGGGATAATCACAGCACGTCCTATGTTGGTGAATCCCCAGCGGGGGAGCGAGGTGTCGTATTTGAACTGAGAATATTCGTTATAGTTGATTTTTCCTGTATCACGGGCGATACTCACATCGTTGAGAGAATCGCATTGGGGGAGAGGGTGGGGGAAGGGTTATTTGCTCGTCGTTGTTAGAGGCTTCCCCCCCCTCCCCCAGATTCTGAGGGAAAAGATGAATTTTTGAGGCATTTCGGTAGTGAAAATTTTAGGAAGTTTGGAAAAGTCAGCAAGAGAGGCACGATAGTAGGTAAAATGGGGAGGGTGCGGGGGGGGGGTCGTATTTTCCGGAAATTTTCCCCAACGACAGAACGCGCCGTGGGTGAAATACCTTCATTCACACGTGAACAGTTTTAGTTCGCTACTGTGTCGGTTGCCATAGAAAGGAATGACGCGCTTTTGGGTGTTTTGCAATTTTTTCTAGCTCAGCGACAAATACTTTCCAATAAGTCAGATCTGAAATAAACGGATTTTTTATGTGGAGCAAGCGAAAATGCTTGACATTGTGTGATAGTAGCGCTTATAGGGAATGTTGCCAAGTAAGCAAAAGTCTTTTCGTACCGATCTGTCACCGGACGATGTCAAACTTGTCAACGGTATGCTGTTTTTCGTTTTGTTTTCTATGCTTGAATGGCCATCGAAGCTTCCTAGCTGGCTTTGATACTCCTAGCTTTTCGGTTGAGCAGTTTAAAGAGCTTTCTTTCCACTTCGGAAGATTAATTCTCCTTTGTTTCATTCCACACTTACACGTGGTGAAACCTCGCTTTTGAAACCGTTGGCCGGACCTTATTCCTCTAGTTCGTAATCGCGTATCCTCCGTTTCCTGCAGAGCATACCTGATCCCGCTAGAAGTTTGAAAGGCTGTTCATTTGACGTTCTTATAGGGAGCGCATGATTTGTCTCCAGTCACCAGTTTGACTAAGTTCCTTCAGATCTGGGCGCACAAGGAGTTAGCAGACAAATATGTATTGCCTCGTTTACAATTTCTTTTTACAGGGGTTTCTTATGTTTTCAAAAGGAATGAGGACCACAGGAGATGAGGCACACTTAGGCCACAGTAGTCAAAGTGATCAGTGCTTTACGGTCATAGAGAATAACAAGCGAACGCGACGACATTGACTTGCTTTTTCTTCTAGGATGTTTGTGGGTTTCTTCGTGTAATAGTGAAACTGCTTTACTTGTTTCAGTTCAACAAACCGCCTGATAAAGTCGCTATGCTATCTACTACCCCCTTCATTCGCTTGTCAGTCTACATATGAACTTTCATGAATTTCAAAATGTTAGACGTCCTCCAAAAATCAAGGGCTTCAAGTCTAGGCGGTCTTCAACTGGAATTTCACTCTCGAGATACTGCCTGAGATGGTGATGCTTGACATGTAAGCGGAATGACCATTCGTGCGAAGTCCCTTGAGAACTTTTGCCGAATTTACGCTAACGTGCAGATTGGGAGACTATTGGTTAAAAGGGTAGCAGACTACTGGATTAAGCATCTTGAGATTACACAGTGTGTGCAACGCATCGTATACCCTTCTAATGCCACCTGAGAAATTTTTAACGCATTCGACACCGCGCGCAAGTTGTTTACTTTTCGGCCTTCGTGGGACATTGCGCGTTTTTGCGTGGAACGCCACAAGCGCGGTACGCATACAATTCACGCGGTCCCACGACGCTCTCTTTTTGGAGATTGGTCGGAAAACCTGGTTGAGAGAGCAATTAATGAAGTAAGTCAATCATTCACTATGGAAAACATAGGCTGGCCAACTCTCGTTGCACTAGTGCCATCATTTGTCTCTAACCAATGTTTTCATATAAAAAAAAACAGAAAAAACACAAGTCGTGCCTTCTACAGATCCAGAATCCTTCATCTTATACTTTTCAGTCATTACCAATTATGGTATTTATCAGCATTTGTTAGTAAAAGTGTTGGAGAGTGAGCAACAATCCAGAGTTGAGAACAAACCAGTCCAAGCAAATGGTGTTCTTTCCCCAAGAAGTCTTTGCTAAACTAGTGTGTATTATTCCATAGACTCGCATTTACAAATATGCTAAGGACAGAACTATAGAATGAAGAGGAGAAACTAAACAAAAAACCATGCACTAGTGAAAGATATAGATTTGTTGACCGTGATTCGTATTCAATGCACGCGGTCCACAAAGCGTGCATTCAGTGCGTATCACGCGATCGTCAATGTGTTAATCGCATTCTGCGCTTCAGCTTGCACGATGTTTTTTGTCCACGCCGCAATTTCACGACGCCTGTTGCCAGCAGTCTGTTACCCTCCCACTTCTCCATGCTCTCTGCTACTGGACGCAGCCGTACGCGCAGAACCCTGACGCGAATTATGAACGCGGCTTGCATATGGAGCGTTGCTTAGCCTCAGTGGGGACTTTATTTGAAGGGATCCCTCTCGCAAGCACTTCTGGCGTTTATCTTTGCTATTTTCTAACGTACAACTTTGCAGAGCTTGGTCGTTTGACCCCTGATCAACTAGCTGATTACATCAAAAACATTCAAAATACTGCCTACAGTTTAGGGATCGAAGAAGGTGGTAAATATTTACTTTGACCAAAGGTCTCCATGGTTCCTGAATCATTCATTACAGCGCGGCAGTTCTCCCGAGGCAAGATGTTGGAAATCTTCAGTCGATAGATCTCAGCGATAAGCTTGTATGTAGTAACTCTTTATTTATCAATGTATCAGCACTGTACAATTTTTTTCTAACTATACACGTAGTCTCTAACAACATTGGAAGTTATGTCACTTACAGTTGAATACAAATGATAGAGCGTGAAATATCTTGTATCAGGACCGATACTAGCGCTTAAACATACCGGACAAGATTAAAAACTTTTACATGACAGACATACGAGAAACAACGATATGACAAAGAGCAGGATGACGTAATACAGACGAGGTTTGTGGTTGGCTTAGCAGCAAACATAGAGAGATCATCGCGCGCACCAGCGGCAACTAGTTGGAGTGCTGTTCTTCCCGATTAGGAATGCATGCCGTCATACATCTGGGCCTAGTGCAGCGCCCTATATGTGCGCGATACCGTGCGGTGTCTTTTCCTCCCCCCCCCCCTCTCTTCCCTAATACCATTCCTTGTTCATTTCTGTTTGAGTGAAAATAGCCAAGATTTTCTAACGGAGCACAACATATTTACAGATGATAACTAAAACAATTGCAAATTTTCCGTGAAATCAGCCTCATCCCTTCACACAAAGCCACTGAAATTATAGTCGATATCATCCAGT